CTAGCCTGGTGAGCCCTGTGGCCTCACCTCGTGTGGAAGGACCATCCAGGCACATCCCACCCGTATCCACAGGGTGCTGCAGAGCTCGAGAGCACGCACAAAGGCACTCCCCATCCAAGCAGACCCGCACGCTGCCTCTTAGGGCCTTCTGCTCCACATTTCCCAGAGCTTCCACTCTCTGCTTAAGGCAGGCAGTGACTTGGGCTGGAGAACAAGTGCTCTCTCTGCTACCAGGTCCAGAAAAGCTGGCAAAGAGCAGGTCAGGTCACTGAGCCAATGAGCAGGTGAACTCCTACCTGCAGAGAGCTTCCATACCCCCCAAAAGGCAAAGGGACTGCTGAAGAGTCCCTGAATACAACCGAGTGGTTGGTCTCAGCAACACTGACAACATGGGACTGCAAATCTTCAAATTTGCTAAAGAGATTCGAGTTATGGCGTCTCCCAGCTCAGCACGAGACGACCACAGGACAAGAGTCAATGGGCATGAACTGAAACACTGCTGAAGATCAGGAACCACTTTTTTACTGTGAGCACTGGCACAGGTTGTCCAGGGAGGTGGTGGAGTCTCCATCCTTGGAGATATTCAAAAGGCATCTGGACATGGTCCTGGGTGGCCCTGCTTGAGCAGGGGCGTTGGACCAGATGATCCTGAGAGGCCCCTTCCAACCCCGACCAGTTTGTGATCCTGTGAGGGTGTAGTCAGCAGGTCTGAGCACAAACAGTAAATCCCCAAGGGAAGAAGATGGTGTTGCAGCAGCAGGATGGGGCAGCACGGAGCAGAAGGAAAGCAACTCGTTATCTGCACGATGACAAAACAGGAGCTTTTCCTCCTGAGAGCAAAAGTCAACACACGGATCATACATACGTGCAGTGCTCCTTCTGTGGGCCTGATTCAGCAGAACAAGGCACAGTCCAGCTGCAGGATGAGGGAAAACTCCCAAAACCATAACCAGAGCCCTCACTGCAGTGTAATTACCGAGATTTCCTTTCAGCATCGTCACGTGCTCTTCTGGTCGGGAAAGTATTTCTCAAAGGCAGAATTTCTATCTAGGATGGAGTTTTGCAGGCAGTGAATAAGGTTTTCCTTCACAAAACCCCATGCCCGTGTAAAGAGGCGTATCGAGCCGTGTGCCAGCGCCGGGAACCATAAAGTGGAAGAAATAATAATAAGGAAATGCAGTATTAAAAAAAGTCTGCAAGATTACAGTCTTTGAATGATGGTTGGCAAAGGCAGCTTGTTGCCTGCTGTAAGGGCTGCGTGGTAGGAATCGGAGAAGATCTGAAATCTTTAACTACTTCTCATCCAAGGACTGAGATGGATAATATGGATCTGAGGATAAATTATCTGAGGATAAAGAGACGGGCAGCCTCCTCCCTGAGGAAATGCCCCAGCGCCAGGCCAGTCTGTGCTGCTGTGGACGATGATGCCGATCCCAAGTTCTAATTAGAGAGATGACATAAGGTCAAATGTTCCCGAGCAGGATGTCTGCTAAGTTGCTGTAATGTCTCTGCGCAGCATCGGAAAAGGGTGGGGGAAGACTCTTCCACAGCAGCGACTGGAAAGGAAGAGGAGAGACGTGGCAAATGTCCAGCAGAAGGAACTCACCAGCTCTGATACCGTCACGGGCAAGGAGAGCACCGCGTGTGAGGAAGAGTCCTCAGGCCCCAGCTCTGCCTGACGCAGAACTGCACCCACAAGGGGCTGGCATTTCCCAGCTGGGCTACTCCAGGTCCTCTGTGTCGCAGAAGATGCAGGGTTTGAGGGGGAGTTTTTTCTCAGTTTGATGTTTCACCACCCCCGGAGTCAGTATCAGCCTTTAATAAACACACCCGAGACTGGAACATCTAATATCTTTGGCAGGTTCCCAATAGGAAGGTCACATCTGCTGGTTTTCATGGCTCTGTGCTGTCTCTGGGGCTTCCAGGTCACTTGATCCCAAAGGACAGCCACGATTAGGACCATCATGAGCTGTTTGGTCTCATGAAGATTTTAAAAGCCGGAATATTACGAATGTTACTTTCACAAGACCCAGAATAATAGAGTTTCTCACAGGGGTTTGCAAACCAAGCTACGCAGGCGTGGGAGGAAGCAGGGGAATATCCCTTAGTAGCTGCAGGGGAAAGATGAACAGGAGGTAAAGTGTGAATCTGCTCCACTGGGTGCCAGGTAAGGACAGGGCTCCGTGGCTCCAACCTAAGCTGAAGGGAGAAACATTATTCAGACCATTCACCACTAAATGGATCGTAACCCGGAGATATTCACACCTGGAGCAGAGAGAAACACTTGGGCATCGATATCCCAAGAAGACACTGTATTTGTAGGTGAGGTCTCTTTTCTCAAGTCACAGGCGACAGGACGAGAGGAAATGGCCTCAAGTTGCACCAGGGGAGGTTCAGGCTGGATATTAGGAAAAATTTTTTCACTGAAAGGGTTCTCAGCCATTGGAATGGGCTGCCCAGGGAGGGGGTTGAGGCCCCATCCCTGGAGGTGTTCAAAAGACGGGTTGATGTAGTGCTGGGAGGTCTGGTTTAGTGATGATGCTCCTTGTTTGTTGTGTGGGTGTCTATTTTTGTCAGTCAGGTTGACGGTTGGACAAGATGATCTTTAAGGTCCCTTCCAACCTAGAAGATTCTGTGATTCTGTGATTCTATGAGTTTTAAGCACTGATTGTTAAAGAAGAACACAGATCTCTGCAGTTTCTGCAGCCAGTGATGTCCCACCTGGAGCTGTGGTGGCAGACGGTGGTGGGGGCTTTGGCCACACTGGCTTTCTTCAATGATGTGTCCTGCCCTGGATCCTTTTTGGGTAGCAGTGCCCAGGTAACTCTGCCTTCCTTCATGATGTCCTCAAGAAAACTCCAAGACCTTGGCAGCTCCAGTGTTTGTCTGCTGAGGGGCGTCAGGACCAAGCACCTGCCCACAGAGCTCCACTTCCTCCCAATCAAGCTGTGGCTGCACCACAAGAGGCTTTAGCAGCTACAGACAAACCAAATATGGCCAGGGATGTCTTAGAGCAGCCTGAATTCCTGGGGCATAACCCCTTCTCTCCTGTGACAGCTTTGAGTGCCTGGATGAGACATGGGGCTGGTGCAGGAAACTCTTTTCCTGCCAGTGGAGGTGCTGACTGAAGGCTACTAAAGCCCAGGGCTCCTTGCCATGGCTCCTCGCCCTACCTCCATGGGGATATGCAGGCAACCCTTCGGAGAAGGGCTGAGCAAAACAACACATCTTCCTCTTCCTCCTCCGTCCTTGGTTCCTTGTACAGACAGAGGAAAAGGGGGCAGGATCCAGGACACCTCCCACCTTCCAGATGATGGTGTCACTTTGGGTGAGCAAAGCCACTGCTGGGTATGGCCACACGACATCCTCACCTCAGCTGGGGCACCAGGAGCCAGCAGACCTGGAGAAAGCGTACTTTTGGGTAATGACTGTGTGTAAATGTCCACATGACAACAAAGTACCCGGTGGGACGTCACACTCTTGTGCACAGGGACACCCTCCCCAAGACAGGGAACAGAAGACTCACATCAAAATGAGGTCACGATCAGAGCGGGACACTGAGGAAAACCCTCCTAAAAGAAAGGTGTCTACAGTTTCAGGGAAAGAACTGACTTTAAATGGATGGTATCTGAGACCACTTGAAAAGCCCCTTGATTATCAGAAAGTGCAAAAGCTGAGGCAGCACACGGCAAGGCACTCAGCAGGGCCCTGAGGAAGAGGAGGATGTTCTGACCCTGTGAAGGTGGATGAGAAGCTGGACATGAGCAGGCAGTGGGCACTTGCAGCCCAGAAGGCCAATCCCATCCTGGGCTGCATCAAAAGATGCGTTGCCAGCAGGTCCAGAGAGGGGATTCTGCTCTGCTTTACTCTGCTCTGGTGAGACCTCACCTGGAGTATTGTGTGCAGGTCTGGAGCCCTCAATATAAGAAGGACATGGACCTGATGGAGAGGGTCCAGAGGAGGGCCACAAGGATGATCAGGGGGATGGAGCACCTCTGGTACGAGGACAGGCTGAGGGAGCTGGGGTTGTTCAGCCTGAAGAAGAGGAGGCTCCGGGGAGACCTAATAGCGGCCTTCCAGTACCTGAAGGGGCCTACAGGAAGGCTGGGGAGAGCCTGTTTAGAAAGGCCTGCAGTGACAGGACGAGGGGCAATGACTTCAAGCTGGAGGGGAACAGATTTAGACTGGAGATGAGGAGAGGGTTCTTCACTGTGAGGGTGGTGGAGCACTGGAAGAGGTTGCCCAGGGAGGTGGTTGAGGCCCCATCCCTGGAGATATTCAAGGAGAGGCTCGACGAGGCCCTGGGCAACCTGGTCTAGTTGGGGGTGTCCCTGCTGACTGTGGGGAGGTCGGACTAGATGGCCTTTGGAGGTCCCTTCCGGCCTGGACCATTCTATGAGTCTATGATTCTATGACAAGGTGTGTGACACACACTGCTCCACAGCTGGTGGAGCTGCCTGAGGAGCCGGGTGGCCCTGGTCCCCTGGCAGACACACCAGCCAGGGCTGTGCTCAGCAAATCCACGTCTGCCCTAACGCTGGGACCGAGCAAAGCAGCCCCGAGCCTTGGCAGAGCCCAGAGCCCTGGGCTACCGTGGCTCGTTGCCACGTAAGCCTGAGCAGCCCGGGCTCTGAGGCTGTGTGCTCTGCATGTCAACTCCAGGCTCAGCTCCGGGCTCAGCTCTCCCAAAAACCACTATTTGCTGTTGAAAAACTGTAGATGAGACCAGAGAGGCACCAAGGGACAGCAGGCAGAGCAGTCTGTGTTTCCAGGCCTCCAGCCCTGCTGTTTTTACGCTTAACTCCTCCCCTCTTGCTGCGGTGGGGGTGAATCCAAGCCCACCCAAAAGGAAAAGAATAAATACCCTCTGAGCCCAGGCAACCCCGCTGTGGTTTTCAGTGTATGACTCGAAAAGCTGACCCTTCGCCTTGGTTTTGGTCACCTGGCTTGAAGGCTGAAGCATAAAAGGTCCAAAACATTTGGCAGAGCACACCTCAGCATCGCGGCTTTGAACCACCCAAAGGGGTGTTTTAATAGGGCCTGTGAGCTTACATGGAGGGATAAATATATATATACACACATCACCAAACCATTGCAGAGGTACTTCCTCCATGACTGGCTCCATGAGGCACTGATGGGTTTAACCTTTTGCTTCAAAAATAATCATTAGCCTATTACACAAACACAGCGCAAGGGAAGAGGAAAGTTGAAAAATAACATTTAAAAAAACTTGCTTTTGAAAAATTCAGCCCCTCCCATGTTACCAAAATCTAATTAAAGGGATCCAGCAGTTGCTGGCTCTGAGATGCCTTTGGTCCAAAAGAATTAGGATTCAATACGTTTTTCTGACCCAGTCTTTCAAGCTCTGTTGCTGTCTTTAGTCCTGCTTCTCTTCTTTGTGTTTCCAGGGGTAGATGAGCTCTCCAAGGAACAGCTTCTTGCAGAGAGATGCCCAGGAATCCTTTGGGTAACAGCTGTAGGTTGGTAGCCTGTATGTCTGTACCACACTACCGTACGAGAGAGGGTTGATCTGTAGAGGAGAAGAGGGACAACAGCAATAAAAATGTGTTGCAGTAGAGAACACGGGCAGCTGAGGAGAGTGAGAGCAACTTTTGGAGAGCACTGGCCTCTTAAAACATCAATACTGCTGCTCCCACAGCCTCAGAGTCCCTCTCTGCCTGACTAAAGCTCTCTACAGCATCCCGAAACATTACTGAACTGAGCTTGGCAAGGAGTATGATCAGGGTGGTTGTCAAGCAGAGAAGCAGACGCAGGCACCAGCAGGGTTTGAGAGCGATGCTCACCACGGGAGGGTGTGGAACCAGTGCCTGGTTGGGGTAGCTAGAGAGATGGGGTACCACCACAGCCAGTAATGCCCCACTGGGAATGCACCATGACTTGAGGAACTCCTCTAGAACGTGCCAATTAACCCATATCTTTTATGAACCTACCGCTTTCATGTGCTACGCCCTCACCCACAGCTGTGCTTTAACCTGGAATCCCCTAAAACCCACCCAGGGGAAGGGAGTCCTGGCAGAACAGGACGCACACCACACAACGCCACACAGGGCTGCTGCTCATCACCATCAGAAATTAAGACTCCTTGGCTGAGTTAATCTTTCCTAATTTGATTTCGATCACCATCCCAAGAACGACCAGGTCTGGAGCCTCTGCCTACCAAATCTGTGGCCTTCGATTAAGGTCACAAAGTTGCTGTGTTGGGCTTTTGGAAGATGGAGGAGACAGACAGACGCACTGGCTGGACGAGGGAGGACAGGAGCACATTAGACCTTGGAAAAATCTCATTGCAGCAAAGCTTTGCAGGGTAGAGAGATAGGTGAAGTCCAGAGGATCGATCCAGTCTGGCCAAGATCTGATGCATGAAAAGGACGAACAGCAATAGTTTGTCTCCAGAAGAGTGAACAGATTGCACAGAAACAGTGGGTCTCGCAAAACAGACCATGAGAGATGCCAAGGTGAGGGGACCTACAGAGCTAGAGGACGCTTGGACAGTGGGCAGAAATGGGAGGACACCCTCCTCTGAAGAAAGGGTCCAGCTGTGTTGGAACCAAGTGAGAAGCTCTGTGAAAGGAGATGGTAATTCACAGTAGAAAATCCAGCCACAAAAAGGAGACATCAAAAACCATGCAGACAGTCACTACTTTGTCAAAAAACTGAATATTTCTTTTGTCCACTGAAGAGCAACCGGTTTTCTGGGAGTTTGCCCATGCCCCCAGTTTGGTCCAGCTCACGGAGAGAGGGGGGAAAAACACAGAGTCCCTACAGAGACGGAGCTCTGGGAAAGGGGGACAAAGCAAAGAGTTCATTAGAATTAATCCTGGAGACCTTTGTCAGATGAGTTTCAACACAGAAAATAGCAGAAGCAGAAGGAGAAAATGCCTGTATGCAGGAGCATCCCCATGAAATTTAGGAAAAAGGCCGGGGCAGCAGCTTGCACAGGCTGAGGGAACCCAAAGAACAGGCAGACCCAGCGTGGTCCGGCTGCGGGACACAGACATTAAATGGGTCCCAACAGCTTAATGGGACACCAGTTCTGGATGCCATCAAAATGAACATTTGTGGCAGCGATGGGAGAGCTCATTCCCCCTGAGCGTGTCTAACCCCAACTCGTGCAGCTCCTATTTCAAACACCAAAAGGCTGAGGATCAACCACAGCATTTATGGGACGCTCTGCATAACTGTAACCAACCACATTGCCCTGCGGTCACAGACAGCTAAAAAAATCAGAAAAAATAGAAAAAAACCAAAAAAGACCAAAGAAACCTGCCCCAAAAACAAACACCAGTAAAACCTGAGTAGCTATTTCTGCCTATTTCCTCAGCTGTGGGCAAACCAGTATGTTTTAAGTGAAAACATGCTGGGGGAGGTTGGGAAGAGTTGCTATACATGGAGGATAGGCAGTGTGTGTTCCTCTGAGTACCAGCTCCGTGGGCTGGGAGGGTTGGACACAACACGGCTCGCTGACAGCCATCCCCAGCAGAGGGGTGACACCAGCACTAACACTTGCCTACGGAGAATAACACGAGGTGGTTTTACGCCCAGCGCAATTACACGTGTCTGCCTTCCCTATTATTATTGGAAACCAGCAAAACAAAGGCTACTATTTATTAGGGAAGTGACAATATGAGTGCCTTTTATGCAATCTCTGTACACTAAAGCTATAATATACCCTGATATAATACACATCCTTTGTCTCATAATGCAGCAGTTCTTTTTTCCCTTCCTCTTTTCCTTAACCCTTTCCGAAGCAATTCTGGCAGAAGGTATGTGGATGAATCAAACTCATCGGGGCTTCTCACTGGGCTATCAGTTCAGTTGAGCCACACCGCCGGAAATATTTCTTCTCGTGCACCAAAATAAAAAGATTTTAAGCACTAATGAAAATACTGCACTATGTAAGACTTCCTGGAGAAAATTAAACAGCATCTGGAATGGAAATATCATCCCCCACCCTCCGCCTGCCTGTGCCTGGACTTTACATTCTGGTGACACTCTCTTAAAAATAAAAAATAATCACTCGGCCCAACCACAAGCTGAATGTGAATGCTCAAACCCAGCACTATTGATTTCTAATCCATTACCAGCGCCCCAAAGGACAGCTGTGGATGTATCAGTCACCAGTAGCTTGAATTATTTTGGGCACAGTTGCCTGCAATATGCTGTACTTCCAGCGGGCACGGCTCCAGGGGGCTACTGTGTGGGGCGGGGACAAAGCCACTGCTTCTAGAAAGGAACATTGTCATGTAGCATAAATAAGAATTTTAGCGTGTCACTTCAAACCAGGCTTTTTACATTGTCCTCTCAAAAGACCTCTCAAGAAAGCAGTATGTTCAGCAGGATTTCTGACACAAGCCCCTTTTCCATTTCCACCAGCACAAGGAGAGCAAAAAAGTGCCTTTACTGACTCTCTGCTCATTATTATTTGAACAGAAGGCCAAGAGAGACATCCACTAAAGCACTTCCACCTCTTGGTATGATGACTTATGCTATATTCGAGATAGCAAGAGGATCTTTCTGCAGTGCTCCAAGGAAAATTCATCATATTCTTATGACTCACTGCCTCTGCTCTCTAAGTCGTGATCTTTTTCCCCTGGAGAAGCCATCCACCTCATCTCACAGACACACTGATGCCAAGTTCTCTGCTCAGCGGCTCCTGCATCTCATCTTTGGTGTCTGGTTTCCTTTTTATGGAGTTTTCTGGCCACGGAGAATGGCAGATTATGGTTCTTATACCACTACCCTACTGAAAGAGAGGAACTGGGAGGACAGTGTGCTTCGGAAATGCTAGTTTTGCCCTAAAAGACATCTGTTGAAGGGATTCCCTTCTGAATTGCTGTTGCTGGTGTGTTGGTTCCGGGCTAATCTGACCTCTGCTGAGACAGGACTGGGGCTGGACCGGTGATGGAAAAAGCAAAAAAAACCTGGGAAGCTGCAGTTCATTCCTTCCCACACACTCCCCCAGCGCCCAAGTGTTTTTTATAAATTCTATATGCTCCTCCTAGGATGCAAAGAGTAAGCAAAGCACCCCTGTGATATGGCAGTATGCCCGCAACGCCAGGAAATGGAAATATTTCACAATCCTGAAGGCGCAATGAGTGGTGCCATCATATCATTTCTTCTTAGAAAAAGATTTCCTTTGGTATCTCCGACGACAGAGCATGGAACTGCGAGGTCGCAAAAGCAGAGGTGAGCATTTCCTAGACACCTTGCCAGAGCCACCTAGGAGAATAACAGCAGGCCCGTTCTGGATGCCATCAAAATGAACATTTGTGGCAGCGATGGGAGAGCTCATTCCCCCTGAGCGTGTCTAACCCCAACTCATGCAGCTCCTATTTCAAACACCGAAAGGCTGAGGATCAACCACAGCATTTATGGGACGCTCTGCATAACTGTAACCAACCACATTGCCCTGCGGTCACAGACAGCTAAAAAAATCAGAAAAAATAGAAAAAAACCAAAAAAGACCAAAGAAACCTGCCCCAAAAACAAACACCAGTAAAACCTGAGTAGCTATTTCTGCCTATTTCCTCAGCTGTGGGCAAACCAGTATGTTTTAAGTGAAAACATGCTGGGGGAGGTTGGGAAGAGTTGCTATACATGGAGGATAGGCAGTGTGTGTTCCTCTGAGTACCAGCTCCGTGGGCTGGGAGGGTTGGACACAACACGGCTCGCTGACAGCCATCCCCAGCAGAGGGGTGACACCCAGCACTAACACTTGCCTACGGAGAATAACACGGGATGGTTTTACGCCCAGCGCAATTACACGTGTCTGCCTTTCCTATTATTATTGGAAACCAGCAAAACAAAGGCTACTATTTATTAGGGAAGTGACAATATGAGTGCCTTTTATGCAATCTCTGTACACTAAAGCTATAATATACCCTGATATAATACACATCCTTTGTCTCATAATGCAGCCGTTCTTTTTTCCCTTCCTCTTTTCCTTAACCCTTTCCGAAGCAATTCTGGCAGAAGGTATGTGGATGAATCAAACTCATCGGGGCTTCTCACTGGGCTATCAGTTCAGTTGAGCCACACTGCCGGAAATATTTCTTCTCGTGCATCAAAATAAAAAGATTTTAAGCACTAATGAAAATACTGCACTATGTAAGACTTCCTGGAGAAAATTAAACAGCATCTGGAATGGAAATATCATCCCCCACCCTCCGCCTGCCTGTGCCTGGACTTTACATTCTGGTGACACTCTCTTAAAAATAAAAAATAATCACTCGGCCCAACCACAAGCTGAATGTGAATGCTCAAACCCAGCACTATTGATTTCTAATCCATTACCAGCGCCCCAAAGGACAGCTGTGGATGTATCAGTCACCAGTAGCTTGAATTATTTTGGGCACAGTTGCCTGCAATACGGCCTTACTTCCAGCGGGCACGGCTCCAGGGGGCTACTGTGTGGGGCGGGGACAAAGCCACTGCTTCTAGAAAGGAACATTGTCATGTAGCATAAATAAGAATTTTAGCGTGTCACTTCAAACCAGGCTTTTTACATTGTCCTCTCAAAAGACCTCTCAAGAAAGCAGTATGTTCAGCAGGATTTCTGACACAAGCCCCTTTTCCATTTCCACCAGCACAAGGAGAGCAAAAAAGTGCCTTTACTGACTCTCTGCTCATTATTATTTGAACAGAAGGCCAAGAGAGACATCCACTAAAGCACTTCCACCTCTTGGTATGATGACTTATGCTATATTCGAGATAGCAAGAGGATCTTTCTGCAGTGCTCCAAGGAAAATTCATCATATTCTTATGACTCACTGCCTCTGCTCTCTAAGTCGTGATCTTTTTCCTCTGGAGAAGCCATCCACCTCGTCTCACAGACACACTGATGCCAAGTTCTCTGCTCAGCGGCTCCTGCATCTCATCTTTGGTGTCTGGTTTCCTTTTTATGGAGTTTTCTGGCCACGGAGAATGGCAGATTATGGTTCTTATACCACTACCCTACTGAAAGAGAGGAACTGGGAGGACAGTGTGCTTCGGAAATGCTAGTTTTGCCCTAAAAGACATCTGTTGAAGGGATTCCCTTCTGAATTGCTGTTGCTGGTGTGTTGGTTCCGGGCTAATCTGACCTCTGCTGAGACAGGACTGGGGCTGGACCGGTGATGGAAAAAGCAAAAAAAACCTGGGAAGCTGCAGTTCATTCCTTCCCACACACTCCCCCAGCGCCCAAGTGTTTTTTATAAATTCTATACGCTCCTCCTAGGATGCAAAGAGTAAGCAAAGCACCCCTGTGATATGGCAGTATGCCCGCAACGCCAGGAAATGGAAATATTTCACAATCCTGAAGGCGCAATGAGTGGTGCCATCATATCATTTCTTCTTAGAAAAAGATTTCCTTTGGTATCTCCGACGACAGAGCATGGAACTGCGAGGTCGCAAAAGCAGAGGTGAGCATTTCCTAGACACCTTGCCAGAGCCACCTAGGAGAATAACAGCAGGCCCTTCCTTCTCTTGTTGTGCCCACACACTCATCGTGCCAGCACCATGGAGCAGCCAAGGCTTTTCAGCACATCCGGAGGGGTAAGCAAAGCACCCCTGTGATATGGCAGTACGCCCGCAACGCCGGGAAATGGACATTTCACAATCCTGAAGGCGCAATGAGTGGTGCCATCATATCATTTCTTCTTAGAAAAAGATTTCCTTTGGTATCTCCGACGACAGAGCATGGAGCTGTGAGGTTGCAAAAGCAGAGGTGAGCATTTCCTAGACACCTTGCCAGAGCCACCAAGGAGAATAACAGGAGGCCCTTCCTTCTCTTGTTGTGCCCACACACTCACCCTGCCAGCACCACGGAGCAGCCAAGGCTTTTCAGCACATCTGGAGGAGAAGACCTTTTACTGGTCCTTCATTCTGGATGGTTGAGCTGCTGCCTTTTGCTTCCCTCACTGCTCAGCAATTACTAAGGTGAAGCTGCCTAGAGCCAGGAATGGAGGTGATAATGATGTCAAGTCTTAATTCCAGAAGTAACAGAGCTCCATGTTTCTCCTGTCTTTCACATTTCATTTTGCACTACACAGGGCACAGCATTTTCTCTAAACAGAGGATTCAAGCAGGGTGTTAAACAGAAGAGAAAGCAGCAGCAGCGATGGGAAATCGTGATGGAAAAAGCAAAAAAAACCTGGGAAGCTGCAGTTCATTCCTTCCCACACACTCCCCCAGCGCCCAAGTGTTTTTTATAAATTCTATATGCTCCTCCTAGGATGCAAAGAGTAAGCAAAGCACCCCTGTGATATGGCAGTATGCCCGCAACGCCAGGAAATGGAAATATTTCACAATCCTGAAGGCGCAATGAGTGGTGCCATCATATCATTTCTTCTTAGAAAAAGATTTCCTTTGGTATCTCCGACGACAGAGCATGGAACTGCGAGGTCGCAAAAGCAGAGGTGAGCATTTCCTAGACACCTTGCCAGAGCCACCTAGGAGAATAACAGCAGGCCCTTCCTTCTCTTGTTGTGCCCACACACTCATCGTGCCAGCACCATGGAGCAGCCAAGGCTTTTCAGCACATCCGGAGGGGAAGACCTTTTACTGGTCCTTCATTCTGGATGGTTGAGTTGCTGCCTTTTGCTTCCCTCACTGCTCAGCAATTACTAAGGTGAAGCTGCCTAGAGCCAGGAATGGAGGTGATAATGATGTCAAGTCTTAATTCCAGAAGTAACAGAGCTCCATGTTTCTCCTGTCTTTCACATTTCATTTTGCACTACACAGGGCACAGCATTTTCTCTAAACAGAGGATTCAAGCAGGGTGTTAAAAAGAAGAGAAAGCAGCAGCAGCGATGGGAAATGCATTTCCCTTGTTTCAGCATTTTGCAGCTTTTAAAGTGGGACGTTTCAGCGGGAGCAGTTTCAGAACTGCTACAGAAGAGAAGGACTTTGGGCAGGCAAAAGGATTTTTTGTCTCAGGCAAAGCCTGCAGCAGAAAATGTCACGGCGGGCACCTTACCTGCATCAGGAGTCGAAGAGGTTTTCCATCCTGCTGCTCGAGGACTCTGAACTTCACACCAGCTGAAAAGAAACAAGACAAGGAAACCAAATCCCCACTTGGAGAAAAGCCCGTGCCATTCACTGCTCAGCCCTGTTGACTGAGCGGCGGTTTCCTCGAAACGCAGTCCTCAACCTTTCTGGGTTTGTGAGCCCTTACACACTTTCAGTGGGAAGCACAGGTTCTCTTTATGGTGGGTTTAAGCCTAAAGACAAAGGATGTGTTTCTCTCGGCTCCATTAAAAGCACCCCTCTGTCTTCCAGCTCGGAAACGCCACGCTAAAGCAAGCGCAAGGCCTAGAAATCAGACAGCCAGACCCGATGATGACAAAGGGACTGGAGAAATCTTTCTCTTTTCCCAAGCTTTCATCAGAAGGGGGACCCCACGCTAGCAGCAGGCAGGGAACTCCCCTTTAATTTGTGCTCGCATGGATACAGCACTTGTGTGAATCTCTGCCTCTTTCAGAGGAAGGGAGGAAAGCGGCCGCCCCGGGGGCATTAGAGACATTTCAAAGCAATCACTGCCTATTAATCCCAGCATTCATATGTTTTTGACACACTGCTAACCCCATCAAACCTGCCACTTTTCTATTGCCTCTTGGGCTTGCTGCATTCCCAATACTTTAAAGACAAATAGGAAAGGTTTTGGATTGCAATGGTGACGTACTGCACATGAACATTTAATGTGATGTTTCAAACAAAGGCACCAAGGAGGCCGAGCAAGGCATTTTTCTTTGAAAGATCTCAAATCACTTCACATAAATAAAACCAATCCATCTTCTGCAAACTTGCACCAGCCAAGGGTGCCCCTATTATCCCTTTCTACAGGTAAGAAGATGAGGGAAGAGTAATGGAGTGAGCTGCCGCGGACCAAAAGGTGACTCAGGAGCTCAAACAGAAATAAAACTCTTAATCTGTGTAAGCCCCATCACTATAGTATCTGTGTGACTCTCACATTATTTAAAAAACCAAAACCTTTTCTCTTTGAAATAATCTGAATTAATTAAGTTACACAGTTTACTCCCCCTGGGAGAGAACACTCTTGTCTAGCAGACAGCTCTGGTTTAAAGTGTCTCCCCAAATAATAAAGTCTTTTTTTTTTGTAGAAGACAGGAAAGGTTATATTGAAACATGGGCTTCCCCAAGAGCTTCACAGAGATGTTTGAGTACCCTGGGTCTCACTAAGAAAATGTGGTGGATGACAAAAAGCATTCAGTGTGATTCACTGAGCTTTGGCTAAGAGGAAGTGTCTAAGCCATCCCAGGAATTACTTTCGGAGCAGGCAATTTGTGAGAGAGAGACAGAAACCAGTGGGCACTGAGGTTTCAGGTATGTGGTTGAACACTCTGGAGCCTTATCCCAGGACCAGCCCCTTAGAACAGAAAATGCTGCTTCTGTAGGTCGTGGCCACACACTTCCCTTGTACGGCTGCCAGCCAACAATCTCCTCATTACATTATGTAGTTGTTCAAGAGCCTTACACTTCTAGGAAAGTACATGCACAAAAAGGCTACAAATTTATTTTAGAATGACCTATAGGCTATTACAATGCTCAGGAGTCTGAGGAATTCAATTCCCAGAAAAAGCAGGAGGTCTACTGCAGATGACTCGAGTGGAGAAGAACCCTAAACTATCCCGTGATTGCCAGCCAACTCCAGAGCTCGGGGTCCTGCTCCTTCTGTTCTCTGGCATCATCGGTGGCACAAGAGAAGCCATTTGCTCTGTTTCACATGGCAGCTCCCTCACTGCTTGTCTGTTCCAGTAATCATGGAGACACCACCACCACAGGTCCTACAGAACCATGGCAAAACTTGCTCCAGAGTTGGTGAGGTGAATATCTCTGTGTTGGGCCAGAGGGACAGAGAAGCATCGAGAAAACCAACTGACCTGTGCAGGATCAAACAGCGTGTTGTGTGGGCAGAGCCTGAGACCCCCAAACTTCACTGCTACACCTTACTTCACACTCTAAATTGACGTGGCAGTGAACCCACCTCAACCAAGGTGGCATCTGAGCTGACACTGGGCAGACAGAACTATTGCAGAGAGGACATCAGCTTTCACATCTTTGCAAAAGGCTTTTTAAAGCCCAAAGTGTTTCCATTCTGATGTGTAGAAAGAAAATACAGACTTTGTTTCTGGTGCATGGGTGGATTATTCATCTACCTTGGCCCAGGCTTCATCAATATCATATTTTATCAATTCAGAAACTGAGTCAAAGAACCTCGAGGCCAGATGCCACGGCTGGACCGAGTTGAACTTAAGCACTGTGCTAACCCCTTGCTGTCTGGAGAAGCTCTCCATTCACGTTGGTAGAACCATCTCGACGGCGCCTGTAAAATCAGCTGCCATAACATATGCCAGAGGGTGTATTATCCAAGTTCTGAGCCCGAAAAGGGAGGCAAAACCTAAGCAGCGAGGACATCAAGTGATGTGTACTCTCTAAAGTCTCTTGAATTCGATTCAACTGCTCCATCTGTTATCACTCCAGTGACATGTTTTTGTGCTGGGGCAGGAACACAGGCTGCAGAAGACCTCAGAGATGCCTCTTCACCTCGCAGGCAGCACGGCATCGCAGTGCTCTCTGTCTTCAAGTGTTTACGAGGAGCAAACAAATAGCCAGGAACGAAAGAAATTCAGGTAACAAACTCAACTGAGCAGACAATCCTGTGCTGGGGTGGGGGATTATTACCCTGCAAAAAGCTGAATCAAACCAATAAGTAACCCAAGACTGATGGGAGCAGATGGCCCTATCTCTCAGTGGCACGGAGATTTCCTTCCACTCCATGCCCTGCTGTTTCCTGGGTCAGTTTTCTTCAGCAGCATCTCCTCTTCTCCCAAGACAGCCCTGAAGGGTTAAGAGGTTCCTGCCAGGAAATTCATAGGAACCCGCTGAAGGGACACAAGGAAAACCACCGAGTTGGTAATGTGGCTCAGCTCTACCAGCCCAAAATCCAGCCTGGCACTGCTCCAACAGACAAAGCTGTTATCAGCCGTGCCGAGCCTCCTTTGCCTTTGATGACTAGCCTTGATTGAGTGACGATCGAGCTCTTCCTCATATTTAAAATCCCTGCTGCACACTCTTTAAATGGAGGGGAGATAAAAATTTAGACCTGCTTCGTTTTAACTAGATTATCCAGAGCTGTTGACAGTTAAACCCATTGCAAAATTTACTCTGATGCCAACCATGGTTCACAGTTACCAAAAGTGGAAAAACAATGACTGGCTTCAAAATGGTGACAGATCAGTCTTGAAAAGAGAACGATCATCTGAAATCTGCCCAGGGCTCTGAAATTAATCCAAACACCTCAGCTCAGGACTTCAGTTAGTCTACTCAGCATGGAGCTGAGCAGCTCCATTGAGTCACAGCCACCATAGATCCTGCCCTTTGAAACAGCGGATTTTCCAAGAATTTTTCTAATTTCTGTAATCTCTCCTGTTTCAGAGCCCAAACCCCCAAGGCCAACAGCTTCTTTAACTCTCAGAAGTTTTACCTGACCCGGCACACTAGAACTGGAATCAAAAGATGAACTCATTTATATGGTGCTTGTTTGGATGTCACTTTTAGCTGCCACAGGCTTTGTAAAGGCACTCCTGATTCTCCTTCAGCATCACATTACTATCCATTGACATCTTCGTCCTGCTCCTTATGGTAATTAGTTACAAGTATGGACAACTGCAGGACTCCAGCCTTGGGTTCTCTCCTGCCTCCCCTGCATTGTTCTATTTGGAAGCACTCACTGCATCAAAATTTAAATGCATAATGCAAACTCCTTGAACTTCTGCATGAGCAGCGCTGAAGGACTTACCGGCCAGTCTGTAGGACCTGCAGAGCCGAAGGAGGATTGAGTAAAGAGGCAGGGAGTCAATCAGGTCAACCAGCAAGTGTATCAGGCCTTGCACAATCACCACCAGCAAACGGAGCTACGGAGAAACAGTTCAATAAGAAAATCTTAGAGAAAGAGGAGATGCAACACTTGCAAATTGATGAGCCCATCTGCAATCTGACATCAGGGTGTGCTAAACTAAAGCCTCCCAAGGTCGGTGTGATGTCTAGAAGTACTGGCATCCAGACCCTGTGTGAGGTTCCTCGACAATCTTAGCTCAAGGGTGCAACTGAGATGTAGCTCCTGGACCTGCCAGGACACGAGAGCAATTCTACTTTCAGCCTCCATGGTCTAAAAGGGAGAATTTGGGCTTCCATTTCTAGTAAACTCTATCACTGTCTATCAGTGAATGTAAATTTTTCTTTCTCCAGCAGTGAAGTAACTTATTTCTGCCTGGAGAAACCCCAAGTAGAGCATCTAAGCAAAAGCAAAACGGTCAGAAATGAGCTTTGTGCTCAGCGTTTTCTGTCCCCTGATTAAAGCACCTCCTTTTGTCAGGCTGCATTTATTTTTGCCACCAAGCTCATCTGAAAAGAGAGGGCTCAAAAAAGACATTGAAACCCTGTGATGGCCACTGCCTGCGGAAAACTTTGCTGCAGGCAGGCCCCAGAGAGGACCGGTCATACTGGGAGAAGAAAAGAAAACTAAACAAGTCCAACCCTCTGAGCAAAGCCCAACTGAAAGCATTTAACACAGCAAGTTTGTTTCCTGAAAAAAGAGTTTTGGATTAAACTAGAGGGGCCGTCACCCCAGGCGTGGGATGGAAAGATGAAAAAAAAAGATTTCCGAGTGAAAGAGAGGGGAATGCTGCTGACTGGGATTTGCTGGGAATTCCCTTTGGAGAAACAAAAACACGTATCCTGAATTCCACTTGCTCGGCCTGGACAGGCTGTGTGAGACAAATTCATATTTTCTTTGTGGATGACAATAAATGACTAGGAAACCTTCTTTTAATATCTCAGAAGACAGTATATGAAAATCTTCAAGGGTTAAATCTTACCAGGGTAAACACCAAATAATACAGCGCAGTCGTAGGCAGGAGAAACAGCAGAATCGTAAATAGCAAAGTGCCAATAAATAACTAGGGAAAAAAAAAAGAAACACAATCATTAGCAGAGCAATGCCAAAATAAAGTAAAATAATAATAATAATAATAATAATAATAATAATAATAATAAAGCATAGGAAACTGTGAGAGAATGAAAGTTTGCAAGATTCCTTAACATGTTTTTTCACTCCTTATGTGAATAATGCTGTTACCTTGAATATTTCCAGTACTACTTCTCTCACTGGGCCTTTTTAGAAGGCTCCTTATTATAGGAGTATCGGAAAGAAAAATAAGCTGGATCCCAACAGCATTTTTTCCTTTAGAGACAATCCCATCCCCGCAAGTTTTAAAGCTGTTGGTCAGTTTTTACCAGGAAAAGGTACCCAGGAAGGGTACCAAGAAGTAGAAATTTGGTAGGGAATTTTGTAGCGAATCGAGAAGTATTATTATTCCTCCTTGTTTTAACAGAACTAGCAACTGGGGAAAAGCTGACAAAATCTGGTTGATAAGCATTCCCAGCAGCAGCAGCCGACTGGTCAGTCCAGCCACCAGACTCCTGCCTCGTGCTCACTGGGAAACTGGGTGAGAGAAAGAAGTTGGGAGTCACTGGGGCAGGGGAAGCAATATTCAGAGAATGAAGGAGAAAAATCCATAGGGAAGCAGGTGTCATTAGCTCCACTGCCCACAGAAAAAGTTATTTTTATTCTGGGCCAGGCCAGTTGGCGTAAGCCTAAATAATTCCAACTGGGAGAAATGCAGATTTATGACAAATAGGCATCTGACTCTTCAGTTTTCAGTCACTGCTTCCACAACACAGAGGCCGCAGGAAGACAGGGCACTGCCATTCCTGCCAAGAGAGATCATGGCCGTGGTGGATTATGAAAGAAAATAACCCAGACAGTCCTGTCAGAGGTGGATCAACATCCCAGCTTTACCCACGTAACCAGAAATAGATCATAACCCAACTCATTCTCTTTGCAGTAGTTGTTTCTCCCTCCTCTGTCACTCCACTGCAGTTGCTTAATGTCTCCAAAAGTCGTTTAAGGTCTGTTTTGAATGTCTCTTCCCACCCAGGCCAACGACATGATTCCCACCGGTCTCTGGAGCAGCAGGATGAAGCCTGAAGTGCCAAACCAATTCTCCTCAAAGTACACAGTGACTGAGTCCTGACGCAAATCCTCTTCCTGGCACAGAGGCACTTACTTTTCCATCACCAAAGAAACCCCAAACCAGCTCCTCCACCATGGTGTGAGAAGCTCAAGGTTATCTGTTGCAATGGAGAGCCCTGGAAGTTACCAAATATTATGGAATTATTTTAGTGATGTTTGCAACTGCCGGCGTGGAGCGGCCCGGGCTGTGCTCAACTTCTGCGTGGCATTTCAGAAATTAAAAAGAGCTTGCAGCATTTGACAAAAAACTGCCTCTGCCGCTTGAGTGAGAGCGTGTGGGCCGGGCTCCAGCGCAACGTGAATGAAACAGGGCCTTTTAATAGAAATGCTGGCACGGCTGTTACTGTGGCAACACTGCTGGGCACCGCTTTTTCCATCGCCTCCCTCCTCCAGCCCCACTCCCCGGCTCCAGGAGCTGCCAGCATCTGTGGCACCCACCGAAGGAGCCCAGCGGGGTGCCTCGGAGGTGCTCAGGGCTTCCCAGAATTAGGCCCCCTCGGGCAGAGAAGCGAAGGGGTGAATTTGGAAGAGCAGAATCTGGAGCGAAGTGACTTGCCGGTGCCTTAGCAATTTCCTCTTCTATGGAGGTAAAACAGTATCTGCTCCCAGGCGTGGGAGGGAAAGCTCCCTGCAAGTGAACTGCAGAACTGCATCTCCTGTGTCAAGCTCAAAAACATCACCCGGAACCAAACCCTTCCATTTCTGATCTAAATTTCAGTTTGTTTATTACCATGGAAAATTTTTCACTTAAAATCAATCACCCAAGAGCCACAGATGCAGACAGCTGCACCATGACTTGTTCTGGCCACCACAAAGCCTCCCATGGCTTCTGTCTCAATATTAGAATCATAGAATCATAGAATCATTGAGGTTGGAAGAGACCCTTGGGATCATCGAGTCCAACCATCTCCCCTACTCTACAAAGTCCTCCCCTACACCATGTCCCTCAGCACTGCATCTAAACGGCCCTTAAACACAGCCAGGGATGGTGACTCCACCCCCTCCCTGGGCAGCCTGTTCCAATGCCCGACCACTCTTTCGGTGAAAAATTCCTTCCTAATGTTCAATCTAAACCTCCCCTGTTGGAGCTTGAAGCCATTCCCTCTCGTTCTGTCACTAATTACCTGTGAGAAGAGACCAGCCCCAACCTCTCTACAGTGTCCTTTCACGAAGTTGTAGAGAGTGATGAGGTCTCCCCTCAGCCTCCTCTTCCTCATACTAAACAGCCCCAACTCCCTCAGCCGCTCCTCATACGATTTGTTTTCCAGCCCCCTCACCAGCTTCGTTGCCCTCCTCTGCACTCGCTCCAGCACCTCCAGATCTCTCTTGGATTGAGGTGCCCAAAACTGGACACAACACTCGAGCTGTGGCCTCACCAGTGCTGAGTACAGGGGCACAATCACCTCCCTACTTCTGCTGGTCACACTATTTTTGATACAAGCCAGGATGCCATTGGCTTTCTTGCCCCCCTGGGCACACGGCCGGCTCATATTCAGCCATTTGTCAACTAGACCCCCCAGGTCTCTTTCTTCCAGGCAGCTTTCAAGCCACACTTCCCCATTAACATTAACTGAATTAACATTCCCCATTAACATTAGCTGAATGTTACGGCTGGACACAATGATCTTAAAAGTCCCGTCCAACCTAGATGACTCTATGAAGCAGGATAGGATCGTATTGCCCACGGGAAGCATCCTGCAGGCAGCCCTGGGCCCTGCAGCACTACCTGGTCCAAGTCATAGGAACAGGAATCCACCCGCTGCCGGAGGACGTTCCACTTCTTCCCACGGAACAAGCGCCAGAGAGATGACAGGCCGTAAATCTTGAGGCAGTAGAGCCTGGGCAAAGAGAAAATGCTGTGCATCAGAACTGTGAGCTCCCAAGTTTCAACACAAACCAGCTGTCATCATCGCACCTCTGCGCCCACTCGCTCACTGACGCCGCACAACGCCGGGTGGCAAAAGAAATCAGCTGGGGAATGACGCAGATTAAATACTAATTGCTGGGTTAAATGTATCTGGGCTGGTCCCTGGCATGGGCAAAGCAGGCAACTGCAAACAGCTCTGGACAACTGGAGGGCAACGGCCATGCCATGCCATGCTCTTGATTTCTGCTCCTGTGGATGAAGGTTCTGGCATATGGGATATGGCAAGTGCCGCTGGAGGGTGGCCCCTACGAGCAGCAGCCATTGCCAGCCCCATGCCACCACCGTGCCTGTTGGAGTGGGCCCCGGAGACGCTGGGAGGGCTGGAGCCCCTCTGCTGGGAGGGGGGGCTGAGAGAGTTGGGGGGGTTCAGCCTGGAGAAGAGAAGGCTCCAGGGAGATCTTCCAGCCCCTTCCAGTCCCTAAAGAAGGGGGGCTCCAGGAAAGCTGGGGAGGGACTCTGGATGAGGGAGGGGAGCCCTAGGAGGAGGGGGAAGGGTTGGACCCTGCAAGAGGGGAGATGGAGCTGAGCTGTGGGGAAGAACTTGTTTGGTGTGAGGGTGGTGAGAGCCTGGCCCAGGTTGGCCCGAGAAGCTGTGGCTGCCCCATCCCTGGAGGGGTTCAAGGGCAGGTTGGAGGGGGCTTGGAGCAACCTGGTGTGGGGGGAGGTGTCCCTGCCCAGGGCAGGGGGTGGCACTGGGTGGGCTTTGAGGTCCCTTCCAACTCAAACCATTCTGTGATTCTACAATTCTATGCTTCTCTGCAGGCTTCATGGAGAGACACCCATGGCATCCCAGTGAAAAAGAAGCCCTCTGAATCACTGAGAAAAAAATCACTAAGAAAAAGAAGCAGCAAGGTTATTCCCCTGAGCTCACTCTGTCTCTGCAGTTCAGATCTGCCCTGTTCCCCTTGCTTCACCCCACTTCCACAGCAGGAGCCGCCAAGGTCTTACCCCTCACACTTGAGTCAATACTTTTGCCCCCACAAGCACAGAGAGACAAGGGGGAGGACTGCAGCCCCTGCACCTTCTTTAGTAAACCACAGCTTCAAACATCCATAAGAGTGGGAAGAGATCAACTAAGTGGCTGGTGGCACCCCTAACGCATCCTCTCCTTGGGCTTTCGTAACTTGGTGCGATGACACTTGGAGCTGCTTCTCTCCCAGAAAAAATGGCAACGGTGAGAGGAGCTTGGTGTGATAAGGGCTGTGGAGTAACCCAGAGGAAGAAAGAGCTCCTGGGATGGAGAAGAGGGACAAAGTGCCCTGGACAGCAGTGCCCAACACAGAGGGATGTAAAAAAAGTGGACACAAACAATCTGTGGGGCAGGACAAAACCTGAGAAAGCCTGAGCTGCAGAAGGCAGACTGGTTAACCAGCCCAGGTCAGGCATGGAGGCTGCTCAGATTTCAAGGCAGCGTTGTGAAAGCAGAGGTAAGAGCCTTATCCAAGAGAAGAGCCTGGTTTGAGGAACACCAACTGCTCCAAGGAACTGGCAGGGTGCCCCAGCCTGTGGGCACAGCTCAGCGCACTAATGCCTGGGCAGGAGGGGGCCCAGGACAACCCCTCCAGGTTGCTGGTCCCCACCTGCCCCATTGCTCTAAGGCAGTGCCCCAGGCACCCTGACATGTCACTGACACTGTAGAGAGGCTGGTGCTGGTCTCTTCTCACAGGTAATTAATGACAGAACGAGAGGGAATGGCTTCAAGCTCCAACAGGGGAGGTTTAGATTGAACATTAGGAAAGAATTTTTCACAGAAAGAGTGGTCGGGCATTGGAACAGGCTGCCCAGGGAGGGGGGGGAGTCCCCATCCCTGGCTGTGTTTAAGGGCCGTTTAGATGCAGTGCTGAGGGACATGGTGTAGGGGAGGACTTTGTAGAGTAGGGGAGATGGTTGGACTCGATGATCCCAACGGTCTCTTCCAACCTCAATGATTCTATGACTCTATGATTCTATGTCACCGGGTGGGTGTCCCTGCTCCAGCCCAACCTTCCCTGGCTGCCTGCACGCACTCGCCTGCTCTTGTTTCACTGGGGGCTTTGTTTCAGAAGGGGATTTCGGACTCCACCAGCACCTGAACCAGCAAATTCTTCCCCCAGCTGCAGGAACGCCAGGCACTGCAGTGGCTCTTTCCATGTGGGTGACTCCCATCCCTTCCCAACTCTCCACGGGAACACCTGGCACAGCGGGGGCAGTTGGTGCCGGTGGCAAGATAAGATATAGCTGGTTTGTACCTGTAACAAAGAGCCGAGGAGGCAGACGGGCTCCCTGCAGCTCGAAGGGGAAAAACAATCAGCTGAGAAAATGCTTGCCCTGTTTCCAGTCTCTGTACAATTAGGAGGAGCCAACTCTCCACGGGAACACCTGGCACAGCGGGGGCAGTTGGTGCCGGTGGCAAGATAAGATATAGCTGGTTTGTACCTGTAACAAAGAGCCGAGGAGGCAGACGGGCTCCCTGCAGCTCGAAGGGGAAAAACAATCAGCTGAGAAAATGCTTGCCCTGTTTCCAGTCTCTGTACAATTAGGAGGAGCGGTTCCACCCCTCACAGACCAAAAGAGAAATTAGAGGTGCTGGGGAGAGACTCAGCATAACTGACATTACTGATTGTGGGTGTCAGCCCTATGCTCACAACAGACAGGGTTCATAAACCACATCTCAGTATTTCCAACCATTCCCTAAACTACCCATAACTAAAGTTCTACTATTTCATAGAATCACAGAATGGTTTGGGTGGGAAGGGACCTTCAAGCCCACCCAGTGCCACCCCCTGCCCTGGGCAGGGACACCTCCCACCACACCACGTTGCTCCAAGCCCCCTCCAACCTGCCCTTGAACCCCTCCAGGGATGGGGCAGCCACAGCTTCTCGGGCCAACCTGGGCCAGGCTCTCACCACCCTCACACCAAACAAGTTCTTCCCCACAGCTCAGCTCCATCTCCCCTCTTGCAGGGTCCAACCCTTCCCCCTCCTCCTAGGGCTCCCCTCCCTCATCCAGAGACCCTCCCCAGCTTTCCTGGAGCCCCTTGAGGGCCTGGAAGGGGCTGGAAGGTCTCCCTGCAGCCTTCTCTTCTCCAGGCTGAATCCCCCCAACTCTCTCAGCCCCCCCTCCCAGCAGAGGGGCTCCAGCCCTCCCAGCATCTCTGGGGCCTCCTCTGGCCCCGCTCCAACAGCTCCATGTCCTTCTGCTGTTGGTGGCCCCAGAGCTGGAGGCAGCACTGGGGGGTGTCTCCCCAGAGCGGAGCAGAGGGGCAGAATCCCCCCCTGGCCCTGCTGGCCACCGGGCTGGGGATGCAGCCCATGATACCGTTGGTTTTCTGGGCTGCCAGCACAAAATAAACGTCTTCTGTTGTTTGCAATGTACCTGGCCACACTGCTGGGGATGCAGCCCATGATACGGTTGGTTTTCTGGGATGCCAGCACAAAATAAATGTCTTCTGTTGTTTGCAATGTACTGCCCTCTGCTCACAGCCTGGGGAGGAACAACAACCATTATGTAGTTTATAAGGCAAAAGTTCCTTTATTTATTGCCTTGTCTCTCACCTCCCTGGCAGGAGCAGCTCTTCTCCAGTGCCTGTCCTGACTCCTGGCTGCAGCACATGTTAAGGGAGAGCAGGAACAGACCACACTGGTGGGCACCATTTACTCAGTAACCCTGACATGCTCCAGACATGTCCCAAAGCCCATGATGTCCTCCAGGAGGTCCAGATAATGCCACCAGGATGGTGTCACAGCCATGCTGTAACCCCAAACCTGCCATCTGTGCTCCACGATGCAGACAAGAACCTCTGAAGGAGGGCAGAGGAAGGGATTTTGGGGCTTCTCCAGAAGTACAAGGGTTCCCCTTTCCTCCTTGTCCCAGATAATGCCACCAGGATGGTGTCACAGCCATGCTGTAACCCCAAACCTGCCATCTGTGCTCCACGATGCAGACAAGAACCTCTGAAGTAGGGCAGAGGAAGGGATTTTGGGGCTTCTCCAGACGTACAAGGGTTCCCCTTTCTTTCTTGTCTCCTCCAGTTCTCCTCCAAATTACTGGGTAGGGTGCAACTGGAAAGAGTACTCTAAGGTTGAATCAAAGGGATGGGGTGAACTGCTGTCCTCTGCCTGTCACATAGTTTTAGTTTTCCAGGTCACTACCACAGTAAATAAATATTTAAACGTAGGAGAACTGAAAGATGGGTTGCTTGTACTACTGTGGCCATCATTTCTACATGGGTAAAAGAATGGGATCAATTAATTGCGGGCTAAACGGTGAATTCAAGAGAACTACACCAGGACTGAACGCTCCACAAATTAAAGAGTGTTCAGTGGCCCTTCTCTCCAAAGAGCCCCAAGACCCAGCCAAGAGAGATCAACTCACCTGGCTCCATAGACATAGAAGCAGTAGATGTGGAAGGTGAGAAGCGCAATGATGTCGGAGAGGATGCAGAGAGCCACCGTCAGGCCCAGACAAGCCGACAGCCCCACGTACCAGAGGATCATCTCAATGAATGGGGACATCAGGTGAATGTAGCCTAGAGGACATTGCAGAGTGTCAGTACAGATGGAGACATCTTCCCATCGACAACCCCAAAGGACTGATTCCCACCACCCCAGAACATTGCTCCAGAAATAGCCATGAAAACATGGAAGTAGAACTGGAAAACTCCTTCAGCCATTTTCTCTTTAGGAGGGCCAGCAAAAACTCTCTTTGCCCCCAGGTTTCTGTCCAGGTGTGGCAGCTCTGTGAAGAAGGGAGGACATGCTTAGCTTGAACAGAGCAGTCACCTTCTTCTACAAGTGATTCCTTTTCTAGATTTGTGTGCAGGTTCCTAATGACATTTTTAACTGCACACACCAACCTTTACTGCAACCATTCCCCTTTCCTTGCTATTCCCACAAAAGCCACCCCATATGGCTTTGGTAAAATAAACCGGTGTGGAGGCACACAGTTCTTCTCATCACTAAAGTGGGACAAAGTCAGAGAAAAGAGACCATACTTGACAGGTGAGCAAAGGAAATCAGTATAATAACTAAGGAGTTCACGTCCATCGTGACTGTCCTCCTTCATCAAGACACTTATCAAGGATAGCATGGGAGTGTTATTTTAAGGAGCATCTTGAAATACTAAAATTGCACTAAGGTGAAGTCAGTGAGAGGACGGGGTTGGCATTCATACCCTGAGAGCATCCCTCTCGTCCCTGTCCTATCAACTGCCTCGGAATCACAGAATCAGGGAATTGTCAGAGTTGGAAGAGACCTCTAGAGATCATCTGGTCCAACTCCCCTGCTAAAGCAGGGTTGCCCAGAGCACATCGCTCAGGATGAGGGGACTCCACCCCCTCCCTGGGCAGCCTGTTCCAATGCCCGACCACTCTTTCGGTGAAAAATTCTTTCCTAATGTTCAATCTAAACCTCCCCTGTTGGAGCTTGAAGCCGTTCCCTCTCGTTCTGTCACTAATTACCTGTGAGAAGAGACCAGCCCCAACCTCTCTACAGTGTCCTTTCACGAAGTTGTAGAGAGTGATGAGGTCTCCCCTCAGCCTCCTCTTCCTCAAACTAAACAGTCCCAACAATGGAACTTCCTATGTTCCAACTTGAGCCTGTTGCCCCTTGTCCTATCGCTGGAAACCACTGCCTCTCACAGGGCAAAGACTCTGAAAGCCCACAAAAACCTCACGCCTTCCCCTGGATGCTCAGCACTAACAGCACCAAGGAAGTGTGCTCCCTCATGGATTGCACTTCTTGCAACGCTTCGAGACAAGTGCTTTATTTAATATGCATGACTTCCTTGTGTGGGAATCCAACTTCGGCCTGAGTTCCCACAGCAGGAAGACTCACAGACAAGTCTGTACTTGCAGCAGTGCATTTGGATTCATTATTCACCTCGAGGCAAACATTAAACACTCGGGAGGCAAGAGATGAAAAGGGAGGCTGAAAAGTTAAACAATTGCACTTACTAATCCAAAGATGGATGTGGTAAAGGAAGAAGCGGCCCAAAACCTGATCCAAAGCTCGGTTCATTTTCAGTCCAGCTGGTGCTCCCATCAGCCACTGGAGCAGGTCCTGGAGCTCTTCAGCGACGTGCTACAAACACATGGTAGCACCTGAGATAAAACACTGCTACCACATTGAACAGCTCCAGTGCGCTCTACGTGCCACCCCCAACACCCTTCAGACCAAAGGGAAAAAAAATCCAAACTACTACTTAGGCAGCTAATTAAATCAGAAATGTGCCTTTAGTGACTCGTTATTGAATCCAAACGTAAAGGCAGAGAGGAAGCTGAACTACTGAAGTGGTCTCAGCACTGGGAACACAAACCCAGTGCTTGTTTGTGGCCACCTCTGGTAGACTCACACCGTGGGACCTCTCGGCGTAATGAGAGTTCTTGAAATAGATGGCAAATGCAGGTGCACAAATTGACTTTTCAGACAGTCAACTGAAAAGTCAGAACTAAGCAAATAATTAACTATGGGGAAGGATGTCAGGATTTTAAAAGGGGGAAGATGGCAATGCACTCATGGGCAAAAAAAGTGAATTTTCACAACAAGTAACCCCTATGTGTTTACTGCAGGGTAGAAAACACAAGTATATAAATGTATTTCATACATAAACAAACTTTCTTGATACTCTGTGTTGTACTTGGTGAGATTAACCATGATGTATAGCACCAATCTTGCCGAGGGTGGTGAGAGCCTGGCCCAGGTTGCCCCGAGAAGCTGTGGCTGCCCCATCCCTGGAGGGGTTGAAGGGCAGGTTGGAGGGGGCTTGGAGCAGCGTGGTGTGGTGGGAGGTGTCCCTGCCCAGGGCAGGGGGTGGCACTGGGGGGGCTTTGAAGGTCCCTTCCAACCCCAACCATTTGATGATTCTATGTTACTCTGCAAGCTTTATGGAGACATACCCTGGCATCCCAGTGAAAAAGAAACCCTCTGAATCATTGAGAAAAAAAGGCTAATGGAGCTTGTCCCCAAAACACCAAGCACAATTTCTGGTGATTTAAGGTGATTTAATCCCAGGCCAATGTTATTTCCTGATTTTTTCCCTTGCCAGAGGTCCTCCTTGCAGTTGACAGGGCAGATCATCTTCCCCTCAGCAGCTTGACCAACTCACTGAGCTGAAACCAGCGCTGAAGTCCATGTACCGGGCTGTGAATCGAGGTAGCTGAGAGCAGAAACCTCCAGCAAAGGGGTGGGGAGCACACCTGGGAGAAGGGACCTCTCACGCTGTCCTGCACGACCAGAGATTGTGAATAAAGGCCTTCTACCTCCAAAAATCCCACTTACAGTTAAATCCATGCAATGGAATTGCACTGCAAATGGTGCACGTGTAGAAGAATTGACACACGCTACCTAAAGACGAGGCACTGCAGCCTACTTTCCTCATCATCCATATGGATAATTTCCCTAAGGGAAAATTATTTCCAAGGAATGACTCCATTTTATTTCTTAACCAACAGGATCCTTGCAAAAAAATTTTGTAAGCATTCACTTTTAATGTAAGGGCAGGATTAAGGGCTCCATCTTCAACTTAACCGAAAGGATTGCCTTTTTATTTCATTCATTTGCCCCTGTCTCACCATAAGTCAGAACTGATTTGAACCCGTGGATCTTACCTCTGTGTTCACAAGTGTTAGCTGCTTTATAAATAGACTGGTTTTAATATTTAAAGTGTTGGATTGGTAACTTAGAAAAAGCATTTGGGGATTTTAATGAAATATTTAAATGCTTGAAAGCAGTCCTTCGGCAAGGCTGGTTTTCAGCACTGAAAACTTCTGGAGGCTGCTGGTCCCAGAGGGGCTACTGAATTCTGAGAGGGGCACGTAGCCCTGGGAAGGTGCCCTCCCTGGCTGCTCTTCAGCCGGGCAAGGCATTTCAAAACCCACTCCTAAGGCATCACCTTGCAGGTTGTTTTCCAGCCAGATCAATAGCAAGCAGAAGCAGAAAAGGTGACTGGGTGAATTCTCCTGCCGCAGTCACAAATGCTGAATGTGGCCAGGATTAACAAATAAGACATTGTGAATTGGGAGTGTTTCCTAAAGGGGTGCCGGGACGTTACCAACCTGGAGACTAAAGCTAACACGGTTTAGACGAGACTGCTGCTGAAATATTTTCTTTCCTGTCATGCTCTTCTTTCCATTCTCCACATGCAGAGGGTGTGTGGGGATGTGACAGGGATGGAGAAGGACACACAGCGCACTGCACTGGGAAGAACAGCCCAAACTACCCGAGCGGAGCACATAGTGCAAGTCAAAGCAAGCAGAGCCAAAGGACCCCCACTAGACACCCCTACCAGACCCTGTGTCTGTTGCAGACGATTGGGGGTCTAAATTATACTATTTTACAAGTGAAGATCTAAGAATATTTCCCAGGAAGTGTCCTCTCTGCTTGCTTGCTTTATGGATTAGCAGGACATGACGGAATAGGAACTTACATCCAGTTATCTCTAAGCCCCAGCAATATTCTTGGAGGCACGATCTCTGATAAATATTTAACTGTTTCAAAGAGATTACAGCTTAAGAAAAAGAGACATCAGCAAGGATGAAAGAGGTGAAGGAGAAAAAAAGAAAAGAAGATAGTTTATAAGCAGTTCTTCTTTTTAAAACAGACAAGTGTAGTGCTTTGAATTGGGTATTTTTGAAAGAAGGCTGTCTTGCGGAAGGCGAAAACAAGGACAACCACTGGGAACCTGGTGGGATGGAGAGGAAGCAGGAGGGTAGGAGTTGTGAGGGCACCTACAGAGAGAAGATTATTCACATTTTCCATTCCTGGATTTGAAAGCCTGCTCCGAAAAAAATCGGTCCTTCGGTATTGCACACAGCTTCTCGCCAGTTCCTCCCTAGGTGTCTCTGAATCACATCTGCCTCATTTACTGACAAAAGCAACTCGTTATTTCCGTCAGCCCAGCGCCGCTCATCAAGCTGTGAAAGTGGGAGCTGCAGTCAATGATGTCCTGTGCATCATCAACAATTGCCAGCCAAGTGCTGATGTGAGAGCCATTCTATCAGGGGATGACGAGCGGTGGCTCAGGAACACGGCCTGATCCTCAGTGTGTGACCCTGGCAGTTGGTGAGAGCCAAAATAACCCACCTGCATCTCCTGCCTTCCAGAGAGATGTTTGCTAGGGAAAAAAAAAATAAGCATTGGAGCCAGTCCCCACACAGCCACTATTTTGTCAATATTAAAATCAATCAATCAAACCACTAAGGTTATACGTTATGTAAGGTTCGTCAATATTAAAATCAATCAATTCAATAAGGTTAAAATAAGGTTATGTATATAACCTTGGAATATATCATAATCTTATAGTAGTATAGACAATGTCCATTTACTAACAGATACAGAGCTGTAAGGTCGATGCCATCAAACACAGAACAGCAAGGAGCACTGGGGAAGGAAAAGCAGCTCATCCCGCACAGGGGAGAGGTTGTGTTCCTGGCCTTGGCAGCACAGAAGCACTCGAGAAAGCCCCAGTGCTGGGAATAATGCAAACCAGATGGACACTCAGCAGCAAAGAGGAAACCTACTGCTGAACGGC